CCCCAAAACCCCAAAACCCCAAAACCCCAAAACCCCTAAGACAAGAACTTTTTTGAAATAAATTAATAATATTTCAAAGAAAATGGGAAATACCTGTTGATGAGCCGATAATGAAGGCGGAGGGGAATCCAATATGGTCAATAAAAGATCCATAGAGGAGGAAAAGAAGCTAGCCTTGGCCATAGGCCAGAAAAATCCTCAAAAAGTTATCAAAATCCAAGCTATAGGCAAAGGAATGATCGCAAGGAAGAAATATAAACTCCATCTAGAAGAAAATAAAAAGAATCCTGTTCAGAATAAGAACGAGGAGAGGGTGGACTCTCTGAATAGAGAGGACTGCAAATTAATCACGAATGTACCAGATTACAGCAATCCTGCAACCAGAGCTACAGAGGCCAAGCTCGGAGCCTTTCATTATGACCAAGACGACCAGTTCGATGAGAATGACCTTATTGATAGAGGTCCCTACGAGCTTGATAATGGAGCTATTTACAAAGGTCAGTGGTCCAGAGAGGGCCTCAGGTACGGCCGAGGCATCCAGATCTGGGTCGATGGGTCAAAGTATGAAGGATACTGGAGAGGCGACATGGCCAATGGCATGGGTAGACTCATCCATGCCGATGGAGATGTCTACGAAGGTGAATGGTGAAATGATAAAGCTCATGGCAAAGGAACCTACACTCACATGGATGGTGCTAAATATACAGGCGATTGGAAAGAGGACAAACAGCATGGTCATGGAGTAGAAACCTGGCCTGACCAAGCTCGCTACGAAGGAAGCTACGAATTTGGCAAAAAGCATGGCATTGGACGATTCAATTGGGCAGATGGAAGCACCTATTATGGAGAATTCAGGGACAACAACATTCATGGAAAAGGGATCTATACCTGGAGCGATGGAAGAAAATATGATGGCGACTGGAAGGAAAATAAAATGGATGGCAAAGGAGTTTTTACCTGGATTGACGATAGAAGATATGAAGGAGATTATGTAGATGACAAGAAGGAAGGCTATGGAGTATTCCAATGGGGAGACGGCAGATGCTACAAAGGCCAATGGCTTAATGGCAAACAGCATGGAATTGGAGTGTAAGTTATAAAAAATTTTCAAAGTCTAATTCGAATTTCTAGATATTCAGCTGCAAATGGACTTGAAAGAAGAGGTGAATGGAGAGATGGAAGAAGACACCAATGGCTTGACGAAGAAGGTCAATAAATCTATTAATATAATACTTTCTATTTAGAACATTTCAAAGGGGTTTTGGGGTTTTGGGGTTTTGGGGTTTTGGGGTTTTGGGGTTTTGGGGTTTTGGGG